ACCGGCAGGTCAGGGGGTTCTGTATTATCATTAATAACCAGGTGTTTGCGGACCCGGAGCTAACATTCCGGAGCGGTTCCCGAGCGGACGCCTACCGACTGTCCGATGTGTTCAGTCAACTCGGTTTTGATGTCCATATGTATGACAATCAGACCAGCGATCAGATGAAGAAGTTGTTGATGGGGTTCAGGAATAGGGAGACAGAGCTGTCAGTTCATGAAGCGCTGGTAGTTATTATACTGAGTCACGGCTGTGAGGATGGTGTGCACGGGTCGGATGGACAGGTAGTTCCCGTGAAGACTATTTTGGGATATTTTAATAATGACTACTGTACGGCACTTATCGGAAAGCCTAAAATGTTTTTTCTAACCGCTTGTAGGGGTGGTGAGTGTATATATATTTTTTAGTATGAACTTGATAAATTTAAAAATTGATTATTGTTTTAGATGAAATGGACCAGGGTGTTCGTAGAAAGACTAGAGGAATGTTATTAGTACCGGAGGATATTAGTAGTATAATTCCCACGTGGAGTGACATATTTGTATACTACTCCACCATCGAGGGTAATTAATATATTGTTTAAACTAGATATTTAATTAAAGGTTATAGCGTAGCTGTCCTTGTTACAAATATTTAAGCATACTTATCAAACACCTAGGTTATTTATCGCCACGGAATACAATTACCGGCTCGTGGTTTGGCTACGAGTTGGCCCACTGTTTGGCGAAATACTCGGCCACTGAACACCTCAACGATTTGGTGACCATAAGAGTGGCCAAAAAGGTCGACCACAGAATCAGTCGACTAAATGGGACCCTGGTCTTCAAGTCGGCCATTGAATGCAAGACATTAGGTTATGTTAAGAAAGTTTATTTTAATCCGAGACTATTTAAAACCGAGAGCAGTGTTAGTATTAGGGCTAGAATTCGGAAATATTTTCATTGTTCAGGATAATGAAAAATTTAAACATAAATGTAAAATATTTAAAAATTAAATATAATTATAAATATTTACAAAAGTATGAGGAGTTGTTTTATATTTATTTTTGTAATTCTACTAAAATATTGGGACAATTATCTTAGAAATAGCTACCAGCCAACTGTTATTGTTTATTTCAAAACAAAACTATCAGTAGATTAAAAAATTATTTCAGCTATTTACAATAATTTAACAACAAAACACATACACAGAAATATTTTTTCATATTCTTATATAATATAAGTTATGTACAGTAGTTATAGATAAGTGTAATTTATTTATACTGTATGAAAAATACAAAATGCTAATGGTGGCATAGCACAAACCTGTTGCGATAGAAATGACATTGAAATTTAAAATTTGTTAAAAGTTTCATAAAATTTTAGCATAACTTCAAAACTTATTAATTGAAAGTGATTTATAAATACAAAATAAAATAACTACCTTATAAATGGGAGACAGTATTAATGTGTTTGCACACTTTGTTTCTAGTTTAAAACAATTGCTAATTGATAGTAAATTAATTAGCGAGAATGAACTTGAAAATATCCAGGTAATTCCAACTTGTATAAAATATATTATTAGCACTAAAGATAAATATAATTTACCCTAGTTAATATATTGTAGAGTTATCACACAGAAACTGACAATGAAAATAAATTACTGGTAATGATAGCTACCCTTGAATTAAAGGATTGGAAAGACATCAGAAAATTTGGTCACTCTATCGAAACATCCGGATTATTAACCCATGAATTATGTGAACACTACTCAACCACTCAATGGATGACCCGACTCAGCGATCTGGTGTTTACGGGCCGGGAGTTCACGAGTAAACTAACCGTACGAAAGGCACGGAAAATAATGAGTAATAAACACTAGGATGTATACCCTATGCATAGGAGGGTCAGAGGATTCTGTGTTATCATTAATAACCAGATGTTTGAGGACCCGGAGCTAACATTCCGGAGTGGTTCGCGAGCGGACGCCTACCGACTGTCCGATGTGTTCAGTCAACTCGGTTTCGATGTCCATATGTATGACAATCAGACCAGTGGTCAGATGACGGAGTTGTTGATGAGGTTCAGGGATAGGGAGGCAGACCTCTCAACCCACGACGCGCTGGTGGTTATTATACTGAGTCACGGCTGTAAGGATGGTGTGTACGGGTCGGAAGGACAGGTAGTCTCCGTCGACTATATATTGTGGCACTTTAATAATAAAAACTGTGCAACCCTTATTGGAAAGCCTAAAATGTTTTTTGTAACCGCATGTAGGGGCGGTGAGTGTTATGTATATTTTAAGGTGCATGAACATTAATATATTACAAATATAACAAAATTATTATTTTTAGATGAAATGGACCTGGGTGTAGAGCCACTGAAGCCGTTTAGGTCTTTTCGCACTCGTGGTGGTTGTATGAGCCATGAATCATATTCTAGTGATCCACCTAGTTCATTTATATATGAGCCTATTATTCCTACATGGAGTGATGTGTTTGTATACTATTCCACTATAGAGGGTAATAAAAAATAATAATAATAACAATATCAATTCATTTATCACAACTAATCAATATTTATATTGATATGTTTTTAAATAATTGTTAAACAATGATTTTGTAATTCGCAATAACCTAGGTTATTCATCGCCACGCAATACAATAACAGGTTCGTGGTTTGGCTACGAGTTGGCCCATTGTTTGGCACAATACTCGGCCACTGAACACCTCAACGACTTGATGACAATAAGAGTAGCACAATATGTTGACCACCGGATCAGTCAAATACCAGGTGTCGGTGCCTTCAAGTCGGCCATTGAGTGCAAAACTTTAGGTTTTGTCAAAAAAGTTTATTTTAATCCGGGATTAATTGATGGTTGTATTAGTAGCAAGGATAGGATGCTCACTTTTTACTCGTATTTAAATAATAATAGATAATTTAAAAAGGTATTTTATTGAAAATTATATAAATAGATATAGGTATCTTTATTTATTGATACATGGAGATATTTGGAAATTACAATAATCATAAACAAAATTGTTCATAACTTTTTATTAAATTAATTTATAATCAAAAATTATTTTAACCAGTTACTAATTTACATAAAACTTATTTTTAGGAGGTTTCCTAAAAATATAACTAAATTAATAAAATAAATATTAAAGCTTTTAATACTGAATAAACATAATTAATATTTATAATAAGTAAATGTAATATATTTGAAATTATATTATTGTTAATAATGTAAATATAACGGTTAAATAATAGTTACATAAAAGTTTTAAAACTTAATATAAATCTAACAAATAAAATTGATAGCCTAATAAAATAAAAAAGAAATCAAAAAATTATGCATAAAAAAGCTATTAATAATGCAAGTATTTTTTATTAAAATCCAAATTGCGATAGAAATGA